TGAGCAGGAGGTCTTGTTGTTCATAGTTGTTCATAAATAACCTAATATGAGGTGCTTTGTTTTGACAGCTTGGATAGACTAAGTGTTGTTTTTGTTCCTATTGACCTATACCCATACCATGCTTGGAGTCGATTATAGACCATGAAGAGATTGGGGTAGTTGGGCCAGAGAAATGTCTAGAAGAACAATAGGATATAAGATCAGAGAAGTGATAGGGCCCAGACCCCACAGACCCTTGCAAGACCCACTGTAAGGATGCTAAGTCCCATATTTTTGTGTGTTTGTATGTGATGTGTTTTGCACGTGTGGTGTTTGCACATATGTGGGTGCATGTGTGTGTGTAGGCCTGGGGTGGATGATGATAAGGGCTATGTCGTGAGTCCTCCTCTCAACAAACAAACAAGGAAGGAAGGAACTAGAAAGATGGCTCAACGGTTAAGAGCCCTTGCTGTTCTTGCAGAGGACTACATTGGTTGCCAACACCCACAGGACAGCTTACAATCATTTCTAACTTCAGTTCCAGGAGACTCAATGCTTTTTCTGGCTTCCATGGGCAACAAGCACAAACATGATGCTTGCATACACAAACATATACATACACGCTTGCAAATATTCACACACATAAAACAAACAAACAAGCAAAACAAACACTAATTGCAAAGTCAAACACAGATGGCTTATATATGCTTTTCAAATTAATATCACTCTGGTTTTACAAGCCTAGTAAGAGTTGGGAATGAGGGGCCAGTGGGGTGACTCAGCAGGTATATTTGCCTGCCACCAAGGTTGATAACCTGAATTTAACCCTTGGGACCCACATGGCGGGAAAAGAGCACCTACTGCCAAAGATTGTCCTCTGACCTCCACATGTATGCATGTGCTTCATGTGCTTTCATAGAGCAATGGTGGGCTCTGGGTCGGGGGTGGGGGTGGAGGATGGGGGTAGTGACTGGACACCCTCAAGTGGACACTGAAAGAAGGGGAGGGACTGTCACTCTGAGGAAATTTCTAATGGCAGATCTTTCAGCTCTAGGAAAAGAAAATACAAATAGGGCCAAAGAAGAGAAATGAGAAATGAGTACCACTCCATTTGTCCTGAGTGGATACTCTCTTTGGTGCCCTACTTAAAAAAAAAAAAAAAAAAATTACATCTATTTCTTTTTTGTGTGTGCTGTTATTTATTTATTGTGTGTGTGTGGGGGGGTGATTTTATTTTATTATTTTCTTTCTCTCTCTGTTTCTCTCATCCCATGTGGCGGTCAAAAAAACAAAACAAAACAAAACAAAAACCTTGAGGATTTGGTCTTCTTCCTTCACCTTTTTGTGGTTTCTGGGGACTGTACTCAGGTTGCCAGGCTTGTGTGGCAAGAACCTTTATCTGCTGAGCCATCTCTCTGGCTCTAACAGGACCTACTCTCATATCTGGTAAACTGTGTTATCCACAGCGTCTCAAACATTGCTTGCCTCTTAGTAGTATTCAAGAAATACTTGTTTAACAGGGTGTGGTGGGGCAAACCAGTAATCCTAGCACTTGGGGGATGGAAACAGAAGGCTCAGGAGTTCAAGGACATTCTTGGTAATAAAATGAGTTAGAGACTAAACTGGGGCTGTAGGAAACTCAAAGCACTCCCTCCCCGGCCAGAAGAAAGACTTGTTGACTGGTAGTGAATTAGCCTTGGAAACTCAGATGGGAAAGGAAAACTGTTATGATCAAGGTCACAAATAGCAGAGATGAGACCTGAAACCAATTTTGATTAGTTTTTAGCCTGCCCAGTGTAGAAGGCAGATCCTAGAGAAAGAAGCGTTTCCCTTTTCCCAATTCACTTCCCCCATCACTAAAATTACTAAATTAAGTGACATCACTAAATCACTAAACTTGTGTAGATTCATTTCCTTCATCAGCCATGAGAAAGGCTAAGGGTCTCCCCGTGTTCTGTAACTCTAAGTTTCATGACAACTAATGAATGAACAAAGTCCCTCCACAACCCACAGGCTCAACTACTCTCCCATCTGGTGAAGTGTGGTCAGCATATCACCATGGTCAGAATCACCAGGATGGGAGAAGCTAGAAATGCACTTGAGTCTTGCAGTTTTAAAAACGAATGCTCTGGATATATAGTTGATTTGGAGGAATTTCCAATAGGCCATACTTCTGAGCCCCTTCCTCCTCTATCATGATGCTACATATAGAAAGTGATAATATTTTTGTGTCATGGTAAAGAAAACCTAGGCTGTCTCCTTGACAAAACACATCTTGCTTAGAAACCCTGTGCATGTTCCAGTGAGGAAAACAAGGGTTATTAAAATATGGACAGTACCCTGTTTCCACAGTCAAGACAGCCTGAGACTATGTATGTGTGGTAGAATATTAATTTAAGGTGTGTTACTTTTGTTTATGTTCCGGAACATTTGTTTAATGATGCAAAGATGTGTTTGATTAAATAAAAATCACCTGAGGTCAGCAGGCTGGGTCAGCAACTTGCTCACAGGAAGTGGTAAAGAGGAGGCAGGCGGAGAAGAGTTTATAAGGAGGGGCTAGAATGCATACCAGGACCTCTTGGGAGACTGGAGGAGGTGAGCTGCTTGTTATTCAGCCTCACTGGGAAGCAGGATTCTACCTAAACCTTTGAATCTTGAGTCCTTTAGCAGGTGGTAAGTTTAAATAAGCTTCCATAGTAGCTTTGAAAGAGTTCGTGCCTGAGTGAATTCAGGCTTCAGATCTTGCGGCCTAGCTACTGCCATGGAACTGCAGTTGCTGAATAGGATGGCTATAGCATAAAAGGCCAAAACAAATAAAGAAAAACAACAGTATGTTTGCAGGACTATGTCACAGGCATAGTAATCGAATATAGATAAGACTATTATAAGACTATTGAGAATACAAGGTTGTTAAAAGAAGGTACACAGCTTTCTTTAAAAGGTGGGGAAAAAAAGCCATAAAAAGCCCAATCCACGTGATAGTTGGCTTTATTTATCAGTCTGATATAACTTCTGGAAGGAGGGCTACATGAGGGATTGTCTACAGTAGTTTGATCTGTGGACATGCTGTGCAGGAGTGGCTTGGTTTTGAATGGACATGGGAAGATCCCAGCCCATAGTGGGCAACATCATTCCCTGCATTTGGATCACTAGCTGCTTCAAGTTCCTGCCTTGACTTCCAGGAAATAATAGACTATAACTTGAAAATGTGAGCCAAATAATCCCATTTTCCATCGCTTTTTGCCAGGGTGTGTGTGTGTGTGTGTGTGTATATATATATATATATATATATATATATATATATATATATATTTAATCATAGCATTAGGAAATGAAATTATAACCCCCATATTCATGTTATGAACCTGTTTTAGGCATTTATATGCAATAACATTTATATAAAGGCATTTCACATTTTTTGAAAGCTCAGATGAAGGCCCCTACCTGAGGATAAAGTAAAATCTTGGTGATAGGAGCTCTGCAGACGTGGGTGACTGCCTAGGTATTCCAAGGCATTGTGGCAGTGAAATCTTAGACTTTTGTAGAGAGGACATCTTTAGATAAAAGGAGCACAGATGGAAATTTCCACCCTGCATTTCATGCTCAGCTGATCCTTATTGCCTTGGAATATAAAAGATAAGTATAATACGGAATATTTGAGTCATCTGGGGACTGGTGGAAGGATCCAGGGTCCAAATAGTGGGAATCAGCTAGAATAGTAAGGTCAGGTTCAGGAGAGGTCAGGCAAATCACATAGCAGGGGCTTGTAGTCTGCACCACACAAGTGTTTGGCTCTGAAGACATGCAGGACACGTTTTTACGTGGTATTTCATGTTTATTCTTTAGTCTCTAACACAGCAGCACAAAGTAGCTTTCCAAAATGAGCTTGGATTTCAACAGGTGTTGCATACTGAGTCAGGAACCAGGTACGGTGCACCTCCTGAGGGTCTGATTATGAGCCAAACAGAATGCGTCTCTCCCGCCCCCCCCCCCCAATCTAGAGTCTAACCACCTTGTGATCACGGTTAGGTGCCTACTTCCTAATTCGTTGGTGCTAGTTGGCTGCCTAGACCCAGCTGCTTTGTCATCCCAACCTGGATTCTACTACACATTGAGGGAAAGTTACTGCGAAAAGTTACTTTGCGTAGTGTAAGGTTCTCAAAAAGCTACGGATAATCAATCTAGGTTCTTCCAGTTCCTAGGCCCCCACCAAATAAAAAGAATTCTGGGTTTTTAGGATTTGTCCATGCACCGTTCTATTAACAGTGGAAGGAAGGTTAGAATTGGGAAAGCCATACCCTCTCAACAAGTTCCGGGATGGCGCAATGACTGATAAAATGTGTTAGTCATTCACAAGTACAGTTTTCGATAGTCATTCCCAGCACCGGGAAGAAAACAGACACAAACCAAGAGGTGCGTATTCTGCATCCAAATGCCTGAAAATAAAAGTCGACAATTTCCCTCCCACTATTATTAACTCGAGGGCCTTGACTGCTAGACTCTGCCACCTGCTCCGCCTCCGAACGCCCCCAGCGATTCCGCGTAGAGAGGGAGGATGGAGGCAGGGGCTGGGCCCGGCACTGAATCTTGCTTTTCCTGGAGCAAGTCCGGATCCTCAGCGCGAAGCCGCTCTCCGTGACTTAGCAGTAACCTAGGACCGGAGGGACTGGCCGGGCTTCCCAGGTGGGGGCCAGGGTGTCTCAGGTTGCTAGTGGACCCCTCCCCGCTCTGGGGAGGCTGTCATCCTTGGCACCTGCGGCGCTCGTTTCTCCACCGCTGCTACTCTTTGTCCAGGTGTTACCTCCCCCACCTGCCACGTGCAACCTGCGCCCCCACCTCCCCCGCTCCAAGGAGCGCGTCCCCTTCCCCGAGCCGTGCTAGGTGGGTCCTGGGGACTCCGGGCCCGTAACCTGCCCTCCGCCTGCGCTCGCTCTTCGGTCGGAGACAGAGCCCGGAGCGCAGATCCAGGCGGGAAGGGACGGCGGGATGGCTGGGCGCCGCGGGCCGCCGCCGCACCGGGCATGCTCAGTGGCAGGGCCGGCTAGGTGGCCCGCGAGCTGCACCCGGATCTGCGCGGCGGCGGCGGCGGCGACGTGAGCGCGCAGGGGGGCGGCGGCCTCGCCTCGTCTGTGTCTCCGCGCCGGGCTCGGGTGGGTGACGCGCAGTGCCGGGACGATGTCGGATTTTGACAGCAACCCGTTTGCGGACCCAGATCTCAATAATCCGTTCAAGGTGAGCGCAGGGCCGCGGCCCGAGCCCGCGCTGGGCGTCGCGGTGGCCGCGGAGGCCCTGCCGGGAGGGTCTCGGGTCGCAGCGTCGCCGGCCCCGCCACCAGCCTGGAGGGTCGCACCGGGCTGCGGACCCGGGGATCCGGAGCCGGAGCCGGAGCCGGGCAGGTGTGGCCGCCACTACACCGGCCGGCGTGGCGGGCCGCGGGGCGGGGGCCGGGAGGCCGGGGCGCCAGGGCTGGGGTTGTCATGGGGACCTGGCACCGGTGCTGCGTGCGGTGATGGCTGAGGTGTGCCGGAGAGAGGCGCGGGTACACGGACGCTGCGATAAGAAGATAAAGGGGGTGTTTTTGTTATCGAAACTCGGTTGCTCCCAGAGCCACCAGTGGCGCTGCCGGAGGCCCCCTTCCCACCGGGCCCAGCTTAGGGGAACTGGCGTCAAACAGAAGTTAAAAATAAACATCTGGAAACAATAGTGCATCTCCCCACCTAGCCGCTGTTAGCGAGGTGGACCCTGAGCCATTTTCCAAGCTGGGAGTGCGTCACCCCGGCTGTTTGAGGATTCCGTTCCTCACGTGAGTTGCTTTCCTTCTTGGAGTAGACATGGTCCCCAGCCTCCGAAAGGCTTGGCGCAGGAATGGCCAGGCTGGCCTTTTGGATGTTGATCATCTATCTGATCTCAAATTATTAAGCTGCAACCGAACTCTGCCTTGAAAAGTACTTTGGGTTTCTTAATGACTGTGAGACATAGCAAGGTAATTTCTTCCAACTGTTAGCTTTGTTAGTCGTTTCTTAATCTTCCCGACCGTATGCAGTGCAAACTTTAATTTGTAGTCACAAAGGTGAAATAGGAACTAATTTGTCTGTGGCCGCCCAAGTGCGGCTTCTGGCCTGGTGGGTTTACATCTTTTTAGTCCTTCTGTGGCTTACAATATTGAAGGAAAAATCACCCCTGTTCTGATGGTTTAACCTCATGACTTCATGAAGGATTATTTTAATGAAGCGATCTTGCTTCTACTTGACAGCTGGACACATTTGCAAAAATACAGAGAAAACTGTCTTCCTTAAGTTGACCGTACCTTTCTACCCTCTTTGCGTTCATTTGCTTCGGTTGTTTCTTACTGTTTTGAGGCAGGGTCTCTTCTATGTAGTATATATATATATATAGCTGGTCTTGAACTCTCTACCTTCCTATTTCAGCCTCCCAATGCTGATCACTCAGGTGCGTTTTAAGGAAAGTTTCATGCTCCCCCACCTGAAGTTTTGTTTTATTTAGTGTTGGACTCATTTCTGTGCAGTGAAAAATTGGGCTATTCTTAAATTATGGATATGAAAAAGAAACATTTCATAATTTGCCAATTGAGTGCCATTTAAAAATATTTAAAGGTAAAATGTTAATAACCCATTTGCCTCTCCTAGCTCTGATAATTCATTGATGCTGTTTATTGTGCATCTGATCACGTGGCTGTTGACTTGACATTTGGTCACCCATTTCATGGTTCCTTTCATATTAGTCTCTTGAGAGGGTGAGATTCTGGCTTCTTATCTCACAGACTGCTATTTTGTGATATATAATGTTCCCATGACTCCTTCCTCTTCTGGCAGGCATAAGGTTGCTGTGATAATTGCAAACACAAAATAGATTTCAAGTATAAGTCACTGTAGGAAATGATTAACACTTTCTGTTTTCTGTGAGTGGAGGCATTCATTACAATGATGCAAGTCTATAAAATGCTTTATGTGATGGATAACTTATGTCTAAGGAAGGCTCTCTTGGCTTGTTCATTTGTGGTGACTGTCACACCACTGTCAGTGACCCTGACTCTATCTTCCATTTGTAGCTAGCCACCCTTCTGTGGCTCAAAGTAACCCTTACATGGGCTGCTTTTGCTTCATTTTGTGTAGAAGTGACTTTTGAAAAATTTTTTCCCCATACACTCATTTACAAAGTTCCCAGAATTCTTAACTGTTACCTTATGGTCACTTTTTTTTTTTTTTTTTTTTTTTTAATCTTGTTTTTGACATTTGTTACCCATGATCCTTAGTTATCTCCTTGTTGATGTTGGTTTGTGTGTGTTTGGTTTTTGAAACTCCTGTTGTAAAAACTGGCCTTGAACTTCTCGCCGTTGGCCTCACACCTCATGGATGTTTCTCACTGTTCTCTCCCGCACTGTTGTGTTAGGAACACTTTTGTAAACAACCCCATTTGAGCCATGCCATAAAAGGATAGAATCTCCTTAGATGGTACAAGGGCAATGGCTTACTGGCTCTTACCTACTGTGGTAAAACTCTCTGCTGAACTCAGTTCATGGGCCCTCCTGGAGATCCTGCTTTATTCCAGTGCTTATGGTAGGCATAGTGAATGGTGCTATGGACGGTCAGTGTCCTTTACTGTGCATAAGAAAGTTGAAGTAATTAAAAATCTATGAAAATATTAATTTTGGGATTTTTTTTTTCAAAATCAATTTGGGAGTTGTTAAAATCCGGCTTTAAAGCAAAAAAAAAAAAAAAAAAAAAAAAAAGGCTATGCATAGTGATGAATGCCTGAATCCCAGCACTCAAGAGGTAGAGACAGGAGGATTACCACAAGTTTGAGGTTAGAAAGGAGATAAATGTAGTGAGCTGTGGGCCAGCTAGGGCTAACCCTGGGCACCCTGCCTCTAAAAGTAAAATAAAGGAAATATATTTTCTACATACTCAACATGTAGTTTTTGAACAGTTGCTAAATGTCTGTTATTCTCTTCAGTTTTCATTTAGCCAACAGATATTGAAGCAGCACCTCTAATTTTGTTTATATTAGTTAAATGGAAGACAGACATGCCTGTAAAGTAAAAGGGTAGTTTAATAACCAGTAGAGGTCAATAATATAGACTCCTGCAGTTGACCTAAAAACAAGTGGCTAAATGCTGCAGGGAGGGCCATTTGTTCATGGGAGCATGACATTAATAGTGGGGCCGAGTATCTTTAGGCTTCCTGATGTTTTTGTATTTTAATGTAATTGAATTAGATAAACCCTGGGATACTTCAATTAATTCATTTAAAAAACACAGGGAGAATCAGAATTCAGAGTTTGGACATATCCATCCTCAGATATATATTAGTCAGACCTCATCTGTGGATAAAAAAAAACCAAAGCAGGGGTGGGGGCAGGTTGACTGTTCTCATGTACAGACTGGCGTTAGACTGCATGTGTCCAGATTCCTAGTTCATTGCTGGTAGCACCATGCATGCTTGTTTCTTTTTAAAAATGATTATTGTGTGTGAGACACCAGTGTTACAGTGCGCACGTGGAGGTCAGAGGGCAAACCTGTGGAGTCTGTTTTTTTTCCTCCCACCTCTATGTGGATTCCTGGGGATCAAGCTCAGGTCCCCATATTTATCCAGCAAGCACCTTGGCAGGGTGAGTGTGTGAGCTCTGCTCCTTGTTTCTTATGTGGGCCTTAGACTCGAGGCTCTTTGGATTGGTAGTGGACTGAGGGTCTGGGTGTGGGCTCTGTGGAGTGATAGTGGACTGAGGGTCTGAGCGTGGGCTCTGTGGAGTGATAGTGGACTGAGGGTCTGAGCGTGGGCTCTGTGGAGTAATAGTGGACTGAGGGTCTGAGCGTGGGCTCTGTGGAGTGGTAGTGGATGGTAGGGTCTGAGCGTGGGCTCTGTGGAGTGATAGTGGACTGAGGGTCTGGGTGTGGGCTCTGTGGAGTGATAGTGGAAGGCAGGGTCTGAGCGTGGGCTCTGTGGAGTGATAGTGGATGATGGGGTGTGAGCGTGGGCTCTGTGGAGTGATAGTGGATGGTAGTGTGTGAGCGTGGGCTCTGTGGAGTGATAGTGGATGGTAGGGTCTGAGTGTGGGCTCTGTGGAGTGATAGTGGACTGAGGGTCTGAGTGTGGGCTCTGTGGAGTGATAGTGGACTGAGGGTCTGAGCGTGGGCTCTGTGGAGTGATAGTGGACTGAGGGTCTGAGTGTGGGCTCTGTGGAGTGGTAGTGGACTGAGGGTCTGAGCGTGGGCTCTGTGGAGTGGTAGTGGAAGGCAGGGTCTGAGTGTGGGCTCTGTGGAGTGATAGTGGACTGAGGGTCTGAGTGTGGGCTCTGTGGAGTGATAGTGGACTGAGGGTCTGAGTGTGGGCTCTGTGGAGTGATAGTGGACTGAGGGTCTGAGCGTGGGCTCTGTGGAGTGATAGTGGAAGGCAGGGTCTGAGCGTGGGCTCTGTGGAGTGATAGTGGACTGAGGGTCTGAGCGTGGGCTCTGTGGAGTGGTAGTGGAAGGCAGGGTCTGAGTGTGGGCTCCTTGGTTTGAAAGGGCCTTGATTTGATCCTGTTTTATTTATTGATCACTAGCTGTGTCACCTAGGAAAGCCATTCAGCTGCTTTAGGCCTCAGCACACTAGTCTGTAAAATAGGATCAAATATCCTGTGCTAGCTAATTTTATGTCAGCTTGACACAGGCTAGAGTCATCTGAGAGGAGGGAACCCCAGCTGAAAAATGCCTTCATAAAATTGGGCTGTAGAACAGAGGTTTTTACCCTGTGGGCCATGACTCCTCTGGGGGCCACATATCCGACATCCTGCATATCAAATATTTACATTATGATTCATAACAGTAACAAAATTACAGTTCTGAAGCAGCAGTGAAATTTATGGTTGGGGGTCACCACAACATGAGGAACTATATTAAGGGGTTGTAGGGTTAAGAAGGTTGAGAATCACTGCTGAGCATTTCCTTAGTGATTGATGTAGGAGTGCCCAGCCCTGGACTCGTGGTCCTGGGTTCTGTAAGAAAGCAGACTGTAAGCCATGAGGAGCAAGCCAGCAAGCAGCACTCCTCCATGGCCTCTGCATCAGCTGCTGCCTCTAGGTTCAGCCCTATCTGAGTTCCTGCCCTGGCTTCCCTCAGTGATCTCAGTGATGGACTGTAAACCTGCAAGTGTAAGCTGAAATAAACCCTTCCTCCCCAAGTTGTTTCTTAGGTCATGGCATTTTGTCACAGCAGTAGTAACCCTAACTAGGAC